AGTGGACTCAATTTGCACTATTTCTGGCAATCTGCAACCCCCCATAGATACCACCATGCTGGGATCAACATTTGGGGATGTTACTTTTTGTATCATAATGCCCAGCATTCTCCACTCACATAATAATAATAATAATAATATGATTTATTTATATACCGCCCCTCTGGATAGCCATTGTGCCTGTGGGGAAGGCTCTGGGGGTTGTCGTTCAAAAGAAGTAACTTTTTCCAAGTTGCCATTGCCATCCTCTGAGGCTGAAACATTGTGGCTCGCCCAAGGTCAGCCAGTGGGTTTCAAGGCTGAGCCAGGATCTGAATCCTGATCTGCAGTCATAATCCAATGCAAACCACTACACCATGCTGAGTCCTCTATAGCGCTATATTTTACCTTAACTGCCATGGCAGCATCCTATTGAATCCTGGGACTTGCAGTTTAGGGAGGGGCATTTAGAATTTTCAGCCAGAAAGTTCTTGGTTCTCACTAAACTATAAATCCCAGAATTCCATGGTAGTTAAAATGTGGTATAGAGCTATACCAGTGTAACGTGTGCTATTTCCCTCCACCAAGCTGTGATCCATGAAGTCTATTACTGTACTTAGGTGAGCAAAAATCTATCAGGCTGGTCCTGATAGATATAATCCATCAAGCCTGGTTAACCAGGAAATTCCTCCTTGTAAACTCCCTTGAAACAGAGAGGACCTTCAGAAGACGTTGGTGCTGATGCTTACCTCCTATTCATTTAAATGGCATTTGAATAGCAACATTTCCCAGGAGCCAAGGCATCATGGGCCCTTCTTGATGTTGTTGGGACTGCAATTCCCAGCATCCCTCACCATTGGCTATGCTGCTGGGAGTTGCAGGCGAACAACATCTGGGAAGCTGCATGACTTCTACCCCTGCAAAAGTTTATGATGTCCCATGTTGATATATCAATTGTAGGCAAAGGACGGATTAGGATCTTCCACCATAACATTGTTGGGTCTTTTTTTAGCATTCTGTGCACACCAAAGTGGAGCCGTTTTTGTACCAGACATACTAGACAAAATAGTAGGCAGAGATACAGTGGGACCTTGGTATCCTCTGCGGTTTGGTTCCAGGATCCCCCCAAAAATCCATGGATGCTTAAATCCATGCAAAAATCCATGGATGCTCAAGTCCCATTAAATACAATGGCATAGTAAAATGGTGACCCTTACATAAAATGGCAAAATCAAGGCTTGTTTTTTGCGATTTCAAGCTGTGGATGCTTGAATCTGTGGATATGGAAGGCTGGCTATACATCAGATCTTAAAAATGGAATTCTGGGATGTGTAATTCGGTGAGATATTTTGCTTTCTCTGTTAGAGAGCTCTGGTGTCACACCAAACTATACATTTCAGAATTCCATAGTATTGAGACATGCAAGTTGAAGTGGTGTCAAACAGCTTTATTTCTGCTGTGTGGCAGCAGCCTGACTTAAAGCATCCTTTCTCATGCAAAAGAACTGAAATACATTTCATCAAATGGTTCAGCTCCATCTCCTGTGCTTTGAAAAGGGACAAAGGGTTTTTTTGTTAATTACACAGTTTATCAAATGCTTCAGCTCCATCTCCTGTAGCTTGAACAAGGACAAAGGTTTTATTTTGATCACACACCACACATTGCCAACTCACCACTGAACAGTTAATTTGTGAAGGGCCCCAACCTG